AAAAAAAAAAAAAAAAGAAAAAAAAAGGGGAATTCGAAAATTTAGACTCATTACTTTCAAGCCATGAAACCTTCAAATTCATCCAAAGAAGCATACCTGTATATTGAATCGCTTTATTAATTCTTCCGTGACCAAGTATGGTGCGCCAATTACTACCTCGGAAACAGGCTGAAAAAATGCCATGCAGCATACAAGATATTAAAGAAGCATAATAGGCTAATCGTTGTAAATGTGGCCGGTTCTCATCTTCTAAATGTTTTTGTCCTTTTTTCATATATATAGCTTTCTCACACGGTTTAATGTGTTTATGTGAAATACATGCATCGTTAATGTTAGAGTTTTCAGAGCGGTTCAATTGCCAAGCTGAAATCCACTATCCTTTATGACCTTAAATTTCGCAATACTTCTGCACAAAGATCTAAAAGACTTGATTATGGTGATCTAGGCCAACTGAAACCAACGATATGAAGTCCACTGAACCAATTCAAGAGAAGTACGAAACTTCATGCCAACAAAAACAGCAAACTGTGTATCAGAAAACATCAAATTATTTAATACGCGTGTAAGAATCAATCAACCATTGCAAGTTAAATCAATGGAGGTTAATTTCGCGCTTGAAGAAAACAGAAAATACATTTCATCTGGATATATTCTATTGTAGAAAAATGACTTGCTTAAAATATGCTAACTTTATAGGCCAGAACACTTAGAACACGTTCATGCAGTGACATTATCGGATGATTTCCACCTTTATAAGCATTCACTACCTAAAATAACATCAACATTAATCCTTTAATTGGATGGATATTGTTTCCTCAATAAACAAATATTTTTTACTGTTCGAATACTCAAATTTAAAATGGTTAAATCTCGCTATTGAAAACGCTTCCCTTACCTGATCATTGTGAATCCCGACAATGAGATAATCACCCAATTTTCTCGCTTCTTCCAAAAAACATAAATGACCAATGTGAAACAAATCAAATGCGCCAGACACATACACAACAACGTCATGTTCTCCAAGTGAACGACCCTCTGCGAATTGCATGATTGTTCTAGTTGATGGCAGAAAACGAGACACCCGCGTCCAAGGAGATACAGCTTTACGGTCCTTGAACAGTAACACACATGGATATATAAAGCAAATTTAAGTATAAGAGAACTAGGTCCAAAGCTTTTTGATTCAAGCAATTAAAAAACCACGAATAGTAGTTACTAATGTAAATATATCACACAGTTACCCGATAAATCAATATTTGTGCAATGAAGTGCATGAATAAATTGTGAATGGATGACTGCATTTCCAGCACCTTATAAAGATCATTGTTAAAGATAAAAAAAAGAATGGTGGAAACAGAAATAAAATCACTAGAAGAGATTCTGTGATACTCCACAGCAAAGGAATGCTTAAGAACCAATACAAACCATGGAGAGAAATCGAGCTCTCTCTTCATGCTTGGCAATATCATCTGCAAATGAATGATGAGTTTTTGTTAACAGTAACATACGTCCAACCAGATCCTGAAAATTTTCATTTGTATATTTTCAGCTTTTAAAGAAGCTACATCTGAAATAATGCTTACATACTACTCTTACCGTTGTGGAAATTCCAGACGTTCGCATGCACTCACGATAACGTCCGCATTTTTTGACATCTGCATATGTATCTGTACCATCTGCAGATAATGTTATGTCGTCTGAAAAACAATCACAAACATAAAACCGCATTATACAATACTGGAATCGAAACAGAATATACCATTCTCTACTACTAATTCTATAAATAAGCAGGGTGTTTTGAGTTTTGCACTTCTTAAGAGTTTTGCACTTCTTAAATAAATATGCGTAAATTGTTCTTTTATATTGCGTCGTTAGTTGAACTCAAATTTCAAAATACCAATCATAATGTTCTCAAGACTATAAAGTTTTGGTAGTGGAGTTACTGAAGTCACTACATGACGCTTACCACCATGAACACAGAAATCGCAATTGTACTTGTCGAGTGTTTCAACTGTCGTCACATAAGGTGCACCTTCAACGACCTGAAAAACACATTCAAATTGCGGAAGAGAAAAATGCAGAGGAGGGGGATTCAAATAATAATGCATAAGAGAACAATGCATTAGAATTGGGAAGCTAGCACGGAGTGTAACAAACGTACCTCATCAACCCATTTTATACCGCGAACCATGCGGTATCGTTCTTGTTCACTGAACACTGGTGGACCTTTATGCATTTCGATCTCTTCATCAGTGTGCACACCGACAATCAAATAATTACCAAACTGTTTAGCTTGTCGCAACTGATTTGCATGGCCAAAATGCACCATGTCGTAGCTGTAAATAATTTATTCATGTATCTTTGCTACTTAGTCATTTATTTCTCTATTTATTTGTTTCCCATCATATTTGAATAATAAGTTGAAATAAAAAAGAGAAGTACAAACCATCCATCACACCATACTCTTATGCCTTTGGATGAATCATAACCAGCGGCTTTTGAAACCTCCCGATGAGTTCGATTTTCTGTAGAATCACCATTTCCAACATCTCCACAGTCATTGTTCATTTAGATTCACTTATCTGCTACACTAGAAGTAGTAGCAGTATTAAACCTGCAATCAGTAAAAGTAAATTGCTCCTACTAGCATTGAAATGGAAAAGTTAATAAAACGATGGTCAGTCCAAACAAAAATTAAACACAAACTTCACTGAAGTCTTTTATGTGCTCGACATATGATATCCTAGCAATAAAAAAAACGTAACCATAACAAAACATATATGAGCCTTTAAAATATCAAATTAAAGCTTACACGATAGCAGTCATCAAATATTATAAAATCAGCTGGATTATGTACCAACGAAACTACATTTAAAACCATAAATACATATTCAAGGCCGAGTCGGCAAATGGTAAAAGCTGTCTTAAATTGGGTCTGTGTAAAAAAAAGTGGTTAGCATCCTAAAGTTCGGAAAATGAGTTGTGAGGAATGTTGGGGATGACAAACAGTAAAGGTTACTGCAAGTTCACAATGGTGAAATGACCAGAAAAGAGGAAATTAAACGACGAATGAGATGGATATCCTATCTACTTAAATGCATTAGAAAAGTTGGATTTGAAACTTACAGAAGCAAACGATATTTTCAGTGTGCAAAATTATGAGAGGCAAAATTAGAGGTATTACTTTAGTATCGATTGCTGAGAAGAATGAGCTTACTGAATAGTGACAAAAAGAATGATACGATGCAATCAAAGTAAACACATCTAGATGGCAAACATGTTTATGTTTGATTTTTTTCTTCTACCTTTTTTTTTTGATTCACTGCAAATAATAAATGTTGAATACTGGAAATTGAAAATCGACATAACCATTTTGAGTTATAACAAATCAAAATAGGTTCATCTTTTTCAGGATGAAAAACGAAGCAGTGACGAGATATGATAGAAGAAATGAAGGCTACGCCTGTCTGAGTAAGGAGCACAAAGGTTGATGAACTATGATATAGTAATGGTAATAGCAATAAAAGCCCCAGCATTACTGCAATGTTTAATCAATGCCTTCCGCATCAATACTCTATGTTTTATGAGTTTCTAGAGTATAGAAGGAGGGAAGAATCGAATGTTGAAACAAATGATTAATACGATAACGAAAAGTCGTTTATCCTCCTAATAATGCACAATTTGTTTACTTTACTGTCGCCTACCTATTCATTCATTCCATTCATTCTATTAATAATCAACGCAAAATTTGTAACTTCATCTGGACATTAACTGATTTTAACTGCCTCACTGTTGCAAAGTTAATTCAAATACATACACTTCAACGATGTTTCGTAAATGAACACAAATATTTATTTAAAATAATCAGGAAATGATGAGGAGTGAATATTGAAAGGAAGCATTTGAAATAAGATGCGGGTGCGAAAATGACCTATTCACCTTTAAAACTAAAAAAAAAAAGACAAAGATCAAGCGTACCTGTATTCTTGCACAAGAGTTCCTGGTAGGTTATTACAAACGAACATTTTATGTGGAAAGCGTAACAAGATGCGAACTAAATAATGCAAGCGAATTTTAAGAATGAGAAGAGTTTGCGTACAAGTTATTAGTAAGAGTAGCAAGACGAGTTTTATGTGATTAACGGAAAAAATGATCGATGATGATGTACCGCCATAACCGGTTTAGATGATGAGTGCAAGCAAATAGTTCATATCGGAAATTTTTAGACAATGGTTAATTTAGCTATCACTTCATTACGGAAAGTCCTTGTATGTCTCAATCCTTGTTTCACTTTTCTGAGTGACATTTCTTTGAAGGCATTAATTAAATGATCCTTCCATCCACCACAAGATAAGAATGGTTTCCGAACGATAGCGCCCGACTCTATAAAATGTGTTTTTCCAATCAACCGATAATGTGTATCAGTACCGTTTGCTCAACTCGTCGGAGATTGAAAATGAATGAGCTTGTCAAACAATCCAAATTATCGATAATGTAAACAAGCAATTCTAGATCAGCAGTTAGAAGCACTTCATTTTTTCAAATATTATGTGACAAGTGATTTGCACTAGTAAACCATTCGATATAGTATGGGAAGTTGGAATTATCCCAAATGTTTCCGCATTACCTTGAATAGATGGCTTTAAATAAGCCTACGTTCCCTAATTTTAGGCTGTAAGATTTCATGACTACAATAAGCCTTTTTAAGACACTCATATTTGTAAATGCACAACAAATAGAGCAGTGTTGTCTACAGTTTTCTTGCTAATGTTTCTGCAGGACTTCATAACATTTATCACTGAAAAAAATTATTCGCCAATTTGGCAAGAGTTTTCAACACAGACAATAATAACATCCGAAGCAATGAAAAAGATGAATCAATAGCGCGAAGTACAGTCACTGCCGTCAAATAATATTTAGCTTATCGGTATAGCAAACGAACTGAAAAAAGATATTTCTGCTGAAACAAAAGATGCGAATATGCTAACCCTGTCAAGCGTAATAAATCTAGAAAACTGAAAAATTTTCTCAACGAAATCAATAATTAATTCAGAATAAGATGAATGAGTAGTAACTGCATGGATCTATGAATTATAAAAAACATAG